AGAAGTACACCTTGGCTTGCGCAAAGCACCTTTATGACCTGAGGCTTCAATTTGTGGACCCTCGCATGGACATCAAGGAGTTCCTCAAAGCTTGTGCGGAAGTGGTCTACGAAGACATTGGCAAGACGGTTTCTCACTACGGTGGTCTCCGAATCACAGCCAGTCAGGCCATCGAGTACGCGGCATGGGGAAAGGCCAAACAGTTGGCATGGGACAGAGGGTACGACTCCGAAGTCAAGACATGCTACATCTGCTACTACGATGCCGGGAACTGCGCTTATGCTGGTTTCATGAGAATGCTTTTGACTCCGGAAGAGCGCCAAGAATGCTACAGAGGGTCAGCCTTGCCCAAGGAGGAACTCCTGGGTGACACGGTGGAGCTGGCGCTCGGGCTTCTTACAATTGCAATGAGACACCCAAGTCATTTTCCGAATTGGGGTGGCCTTGAGGGAGCAAATGCGTGCGTGAGGGGAATCGAAAGATCATTCTTCCGCTACGCGTCGGCCGAAGCTATCGAGCTGATCACGGTTGACTCCCCACGCAAAAGGACACCGCCCAAGAAGAATGAAGCAGTCGCTGAGATCGTCAACAACATGTCCGCTGACCTCGTGATTGATTTCACAGTGATCGTCGATGGTGATATCTACCCCGTAGAGATTGCGAGAACCGACGAGACACAGGCCGCTGACAACGTCACGGACGATCCAGGGTTCTCCGTTGCTCCACCAATACCTGCACAGGATGTAGATGTGGATGCGCAACCCGAAGAAGAACAAGGTGCAGAAGGCCCTGATCCCAGGCAGGCGATTCGTGAAGGATTTGTCGCGCAGCTTCAGGACTATGTGGGAGTACTCGCTCAGGGCGAAATGTCGGTCGGAAGCGACCGCCTCACGTTCTGTATCGCTTGTGGCAGTGATCTACACACTCTGTCCAATTGCACGGAAAATGCTGCAACCCGGGATCTGGTACTTCGAGGCATCCAGATCATCAAGGAAAGCCTTCTTCGATATCCACGTCGAGTACCTCCACAAGAGGCTGAGCCAATGGACGTTGACACCACAGACCATGTGAGTGTTGCATCCTCGGACCGACGACCCAAGGCCAAAGCCCGACCGCGACGCGGAGGCGAAGCCGTACGGGGTGATGTGGTCTTGATCCGTTATGAGAACAAACACAATCTCTGCACGGATGTGGAGAACCGTCGGGGCCTACATGATGCTTGTGGCGTACCACTGCAGGAATCGGGACCAGAGAATAGCCAGCGGGTGGTGGACCTCATTGAGCAGCTTTCGGACCATCGCGACCGACGCCTACCTCAACGAGGAGACCGTCCTAGCTTTGCTTATGATGATACTACTCAGGGCTACACCAATGCAGGCTACGAATGCATCGGCGGAAGGCCAATCCGGTGCGGGATTCTCGACCTGATCCCAACCAAGGGTGCAAGCTTCATCAACAATCGATGGGACATCGTGAACGAAGTTGTCCTTCGCAACATCACCCGTCAGCGCAGAATAAACGCGGATTGGGCGCTATCATGCATCCAATCTGACCTGCGTCACAGAATCGCCAGGCGCCCAGGCTCGGAATGGCTTGACAACAGGTGCCAGGTAGCATTCAGCAGCGTCATTCGATGTGATGAAGGAGGGTGGGTGCTGATCGAAGACTTGGTGAGGCATGAGCAACTATGGACCCATGAAAGCAGACGCATCACCGAAGCGGTCTCAAGGACCGATGAGCAACAGAGGAAGAGAGTGTACAATGAAAGACTTCAGCTATTGTTCCAAGGGAACATGCTCGCAGCCACGAAACGCCACAAGGCCAAGATTCGGTTGCAGTTCCTGGGAGTGAGAGTGAAGGACCCCGGCGTGGAAACTCTTGGATCCGCAGGTTCGAACATGTTGGTATCGGTTCCTGACCAGATCACGGAGATCCAGAACAATGATCGTTGCCGGCACAACCAGAGGTACCTGAACGTTTGCAACGGCTGGGTGAAGCCATGGGCAGTTCGGGCTACAAGTGGTCACTCTGCGCACTCAGATCCCCAGAACAATTTGCTTCAGTTGGACAAGAACAGGTTCGCAATATCTCCATCTATGACCCTCTTGCAACGTCTTGGAGGCGCGTTCCACGCTACGGCATGCCGCAACTTGGATTCCATTGTCACGCAAGGCATCATGCCTGGTTCGGAGGACCCCGACGGGGACTTCGACCATAGGCGCCAATTTCGAGGCAACCAAGGCGGCAGACTCCACAGCTATTGGGGGGTGTTTGCACCGTTCGATCACCGGAACGCGACGACCAAGATGCGGGTACATGGACGAGATGCCAAGCACATGCCACTGGCGGTCCTTCATGTCCCATCGCAGGACCTTGCACGAGAAGATGGACGTATCACAGACAGCGGCATCATGATCGTTGGCCGAACGATACCGTTCCAGTTCGTCAAGGAGGTATGGTTTTGCGTCCCGGATCCTCAAGATACACACTCTTTCGCCCTGGTGGAAAAGATCTACGATGAACGGTTGGAGAAAGAGCTGGTGTTGGACTACAATGCATCACCATTGCTCCCTGAGTTCGAGAGATACCGAACGCCAAGCAAGATCATGGAATTGCTTTGCGAGATGCCTCCTGGACCCCACGACACCAGCAAGGAGCAGATCATTCGAGACCTTACGACTGTCCTGGAGTCCCACAGGGAGAACACGGTTCGGCATCACTACATGGACAAAGGGATCAAGTTTGTCATCAAGAATTGGCGACCCGAAGACCTACGCAGAGACGAGGATGGAAGGAGAATGAGGGTGTGCCCGGCATGCTACAACATCGTTCCAGCATGCTTCTCCCGATGCACGTCTTGCTGGTCACAGTTCGTTTCTAGCGGATATTACCAAGGTTCTCCACAACGGGAGACTCCTACGGAGATCCCCAGTGACTTCATCGCTCAGACAATGGAAGCCGCGGCAGCAGCAGTGCCTGAGGCGCCCGAAGAGGAGCAGGAAGCCATGGAGGTAGAGACCGTTGCGGAACCTGAGGAAATCCCAGAACCATCTGTCATCGCGGAGGACGATCCAGAACAGGAACCTGATGAAGAAATGGACATAGAGCCAGGAGAGGACTTTGATGACGCAGTACCAGATGCAGTTGCACAGGAACGCCGTCCCGTCTTCATTACCGGCCAGTCTTTGAACATCGATCCTGAGCTACAACTCGCACGTACCGCCATGCAGCCATCCTACTACTCAGGGAAGCGAAACGCCCATTGCATTGACGCCAACATGGTCGCTCTTTCGTATATGGCTTTCGTGGTATGCAGAACCATCTACAAGGCTTGGTCAGGCTTCGCGAAGTGGGCTACTATGCCGTTGTTTCAGATGAAGGAGAACTTCGCACTTGGCCAACGCTATGATGTGCTTGGAAAGTGGGGATCATTGGCTGTGGTGGACAGAGAGACGGGTGTGAGCAGGGATGTGACTGATGAGGAAATCATTCGCTTTGCCAAGGAACCTGAGAACCTCAAGCAGTACGATCCCAACGGGACTTACACTTTGAAGCGCTTCCGGACGAATCAGATGCTTTCGTTGCTTACACGGGGAGCCAACATGATGGGAATTGGCAGGGACAACTTCAACCCTACTACGTACTTGAAAAGCCAAAGGGATGAAGATGTGAAGGCTATGCACTTTTGTTGCCTGAACGTCCTGTGCGAGGTGATTCCGATGGTGACAGGACACCAACAATTCTCAGTGCTACGACCAACGCCAACTGGACCGGTGGACTTCTTGTACATCGACCCCGTCGGTATCCTGCTGACTCATGCCGATCATTCAGTCCAGACCATCGGGTTGCTGGTGGACCACAATGTGCAAATGCCTGCGCATTTCATGGACAGATTGAACAGATCCAAGGCTGAGAGACAGCAAAACCCGACGACCAAGCGTACTGAAGCCCTACACCACATTTCGGCCGCTGACTATCTCCCTCCAGGTGGTACTTCCATCCTGGACACGCCTGTCACTACGGAGGAACGTGCAAGCGCTTCTTCGGCCAAGGGACCTTCAAAAGGGCGTGAGAGAACCGGAGGTGAACAGCATGGAGGCTGGAACGCCAACACCTACTATGACTACACCGCCGGCAAAGGCCGAAACAAAGGCAAGGACAAAGGAAAGCAAAGGGAACAGTATCCAGAGGAAAACCTCCGGCCCTGGGACCGCGATCCTGCGACCACGCGAAGATGGAGATGAATCAACGCTTGGTCTTCCTCGCCTATCAGTTCGTGACCTCTGAGCTTCGCCCATGGAATGCCATCGCGAATGCTTCTTTCTTCGGTGACGCCTGATTCGTTTGCCATTTCAGGGGATCGTTACTGACGTAGATGAGTGTCACAACGTTTCTAATTGGGATGCAAAGTTCTGATTTTCAATGTCAACGTTGCGGCGGAACGTATTCTGTTGTCCTATCGTGCCATCTTCCGGGTGAGCAGCGTCGGAGACGCAACTCATGGGGGGTGCGAACGGACTGCGATGCCTTGTCAAGTTCTAAGGTGTCACTATAAGAGCTGTGAGCACGACCGTGTAAAGTGCAAGAGAAGGGGGCACGCTACGCGTCCCTCGACTCTAAGGGGGCACGCTACGCGTCCCTCATCTTTACCTTTCTATGTGACCGCCCACGCAACGTTTGGCTCAAGTCAATGCCCATAGCTAAGTGCTATATGTGTCTTCTATCCTGAGCAATCAGAGCTATCCCGTTGCACAGACGAACCGCCGCCGGCAGTGAGTGCAAAAGGAACGGCCACCGGTTCTGCCTGCATAGGATTGCACGTGTGGAAGTGAGAGAGAGTCAGGGTCCAGTCTGTGGAGAGTGCAAGCCAGCCACACCTACATTCATTACAGCTCTGGTGGGGAGAGCAGCAACCTAGTCGAGATCAATCCCCCACGCACAAAAAGGGACCATAATTGTGACAACCACCGATATGATGTCTTAGTCTTAGTGTCTCCGCTATGACTACTCCCATCAAAAGCCCAGCGCAGAAGAAACACAAGGGAGACGAAGGGGTCGACGAAGACTTGCAGCTGATTGCAGTGAGCCAGAGTCTGCCCCCACAGTCGGTCACTTTGAGTGCTATTGAACAGCTATTGGACAGGAAACTTGATCCCATGCACGGGTTTCTTCAACAGATTCATTTCGACCTCAATGCCTTCAAAGAATCCGTGCGAGTTGAGTTGGAAACGGTGGGTCTTCGCATCACGGAGACGGAGAAGAAAGTTGCAGAAACCATGACCCGCATAGAGGAGTTGGAACGAGAGATGGGGAAGATGAGGGCTTCATCTCGTCAGGAAGTTGGTAATTCGAAGTTCCTGTCTATGGTTGTCGGAAATATTCCCGAGGTGTCGTCCCTGGAAGAAGCAAAGGTGTGGTTGAATAAACATTGTGTCAAATCTGGTCTTACCCCTCCGGGCCCTATGGATGTGTACACGAAAGGTCCATTTTCCAACCTCATCTTCGTCAAGTGCCAAAGTGAGACGCATCGTGACTGCTTCATCCAAAGCACCAGGGATTTCTCCAAATTACATCGTGATTCAAACCGAGGTGAAGTTGCGTCTTCTCAGCTTTTCGCCAAGGTTGATTTGCCTTTTGAGATTCGCACCGTCGAGGGGGCTCTCTACGCCATGAAGAAAATGCTCATCTCGTGGAATTTCAATGCGTTGGAAATCAAGTATGATATTCACATAGGTGTTCTTGCAGTTGGGGGAAGGGAGATTGTCAAAGTACGTGTGCAAGATTTCTCCTTGAAGTTCGAATGGTGTGACGGCGAGTGGCAAACTTGGGAAGAACTGCAAGACTCCCCAGAGATGGCCGACATCGCAAGCAAAGCCCAAACCCGTTTGGAGAAAGCCAAAGCCAGGGCCTCTAACAAGGGCAAGGGCAAAGGCCCCGAGTAGGGGCTCGGGCGGCGTTTGGACGGTGTTTCATCCTGCCACAGGAAGGCTGTGGCGGACAATTTTGGGATTGGCAGTGGTGGCGCCCGCAATATAAGCCAATTCAAAATCATGTCGTGGAATGTGGAAGGATTGACAGAGCTCAAAAAAATGGAGATTGTGGAATACATGACCCGCTTCGAAATCGACGTCTGCTGTCTGCAAGAGACAAGAAAAACAAAATCCGATGTGTATGTGTCCCATGGTTCTTATTTCATCCTCTCCGGCAACGCTCAAAATTCTACCGAGTGGTACGGTGTGGGACGTCCGAGGGTTTTGTCAACAGAACGAAAGAATTGCAAGCCTGAAGGTCAAGTGGCTATATTTGCAGTTCTTGCTCCTGCGACCCCCTGACGAGAAATGGAAATTTTATGAAGAGCTTGGTGTCGCCATCTCAAAGACATCGGTAAACGGTCCAAAGTTCGTCTTCGGTGATTTCAATGCGTGATTGGGCATCCACGTCCTGGAGAACAGAATGTGATCGGTCCACACTGTTTTGGAGTCGAAGCTCAACATCGAGTCGAAATGCCAAACCGAGACTTTCTCCTCGAATTCTGCACTGCGCCCGATTTGGGAATAGCTAACACTTTCTGCAACAGACCAGATGACCAGAAGGTCACATACCGCGAACCAGGAGTCCCAGCTCTCGCACCTATCTCTGCAAACAAATTCACCATGTTGGACTTATTGCTTACGTCACAGCGCGATCTGAACACGGTGCGCAATGTTTTCAGTGATCGTATGGCCCCATTGGCTTCCAGCCATTTTCCGGTTACAGCCATATTGCATGTTGATGTTGCATCTCACAATCACGTTCGCAAGAAAGCTTTGCGCATGGATTGGTCAGCATTGCAAAATCCTACTCTCCGACGCGCATTCTCTGAGCATATCTACGCGAAGCTGAACCATGATGAGAGTGTGGATGTGAACCATTTCTGGGATCGTGCTTGTTCTTCAGTGGCGGCTGCAATCTTGCGATACGTACCCATCGAGAGCACGAGAGCCAACAAACCATGGATCAGTTCCCACACCCTGGACCTCCTGAATCAAAAGCGTGATGCTCGAGTAAATGGAAACTGGAACTTTGAGAAACACTTGCAGAAGGAGGTCAAGAAATCAGCAAAGAAGGACCGCTCTAAATGGCTCGAGGATTTGGCATCTTCCGGGGATTGGAAATCGATTAAAAAGCTCCGCAAGGGTCGGATCACCAAGCAGGGGCGAATGAAAAACAGTGATGGCGAGTATGTCTCATCTGAACTGCGAGCAGAAACATTAGCTGAGCACCTCGAAAAAGTTCAATGGAAAGTTCGTCCAACGACATTGATTCCTGGACAGCGGTCGAATTTGGGTGAAGTTTTCCACGTCAGCAGGTCGGATTTCAGCCACACCGAGCTCAAGAAAGCTATATCAAAAATGGCCAGCGGTAAGGCAACGAAAACAGATGATATTCCCGTGGAGGTTTTCAAGGTCTTGGCCATGGAACCTTTGCAACCATTGCTGGCGAGCTGCCACCGTTCCCGATGAATGGTCCACAGCTTCAGTTGCAATGTTATTCAGAAAGGAGACCCGGCCGATCCGAACAACTATCGACCAATTTGCTTGCAGAGTATTGCGTACAAACTGTTTGCGTCCCTCCTCAAACAACGGCTCCTTGACGCAGGTGTACATACCAGGAAATCACAATTTGGATTTAGAGAGGGTCATTGCACCGAAGATGCCATGTTCGTTGCTTTGCAAAAAATCGAACAAGCTTGTGCCCAACGAGATGGTCAGATCCGCCTATTGGCCCTCGATTGGAAGAAAGCTTTTGACAGTATCAACTTGGACAGCCTTCTTGATGCATTGCGCCGTTTCGGTATTCCTGACTTTTGTCGGCAAGTGATTCACAACATGATGCGGCATCGTAGGTTTTATGTCGAAGACCAAGGCATCAACTCCACTTTAAAATCGCAGAATTCTGGCATTTCGCAAGGATGCACTTTGAGCCCGCTGATATTTATCATCGTCATGACGGTCTTGATGCAGGATGCTGTTTCAAACCTAAGTGGTGCTGCACTGCTTGCATACAATCGTGGGGATTTGGCCGATATTGTTCATGCTGATGATACATTGCTGCTTGGCACGTCCGACCGTCATTTGCAGGACTATCTATCTCAGGTCGCAGATGCAGGGCTGTTGTATGGCATGGAGCTTCACTGGGATAAGTTTCAATTGCTACAAGTACAATGTCAAGCAAAGATTCGGACTCCGACGGGTGAACATATTTCACCAAAACTGGGCATTGAGTATTTGGGATCTGTTCTCAGTTATGATGGGCTACCTGGTCATGAATTGGGTCGGAGAATCGGGTGGCAAAACGGGACTTTCTGGAGCTCCAAAAAGTTTGGAAACATTCTTCATTATCTCGGGACCGGAAGGTTCAAATCTATAAAGCTCTTATTGAATCGAAGCTGATGTATTCCCTGAGCTGCTTGTGTTTATCATCCGCGGATCGTCGGCGTCTTGATGGCTTTCAAAACCGTTGCTTGAGAAGTATATTCGGCATCCCACCCGCTTTTATCTCGAGAGTGCCCAATACAGAAGTTTTGCGCAGCGCTTGCTACCCCGCTGCTACAGACATGTTGTTGAAACGACAACTCGTCCTTTTGGGTAGAGTACTGCGATCTGCACACGACCACCCCTTGCACAGCTCTGCATTTATTCGTGGAACGCTGCAGCCTGCCACAAGTATGTATGTGAGAAGGGTGGGGAGGCCGCGACGAGAATGGGTTACATTTGTTGAGGACAAAGCATGTCAATTCCTTGGAAGCCACCGTGAGATAACCAGGCTTGTGCAGAATCCTCTTGTCTGGAATCGTGCGGTGAGCGAGTTTACCTGTCCACGCGCCGCCCGGCGTATGACTGACTGACTGACCGATCTGATGTCTGCATGGGTGCCATGGAAAGTAGTTCTATGTAGCCAGGCCGAAGAGGCCGTGCTGGTTTGCTCTGGTTGAGCAGGTTCGAGCGGCCCAGAAACAGGTGTCTCCGATACCACGAACGGCGCGGCGAGCGCCAAAGCCAAGGCAAGCAAGAAGAGGCGGTCGTGAAGCGGTCGTGAAGCGTTCGTGCAGCGACGACTCGAGCGGTTTTTTGGAGGCAGAAAGACAAAAGCGAGGCGAAGAAGGGCCGCGGAGCCCGTCAGCGAGAGAAGCGTCGGGCCTGGACCCAAGAAGCAAAAGCGAGGCTTCAGACGGCTCCGGACCTCCAGACACGAGCCTTCGAGGCACTCAAGGCTGCAGCTGCAGAGCGCAGCGAGGACTCGGCCACTGTCCTTCCCACATGGATCTTCATGCTTTTAGTCGGTTTTTTTCAGTAGTTGGGGCACCAGGGCTTTTGATTGTCTTACCCTGAAGAACTCCAGACCATCAGATCATCCACGACCTCAACCCCCACAATCAGAGAATCCGAAGCTGCACGCTGACACTGGCATGGGTTGCGGACGCGGCTGTGCCACAAAGGGTCTTGCGATGTGGTGGTTTTGGGGTCTGGATATTAGTGGGTTGCGCTGCAGTGGTAAAGTCATGCGTTTTACCTCAATGCCTCCGAGCTGCCAGTGCCATCGATGAATGCACACGACGTGCTGCTGCACTTTCTGCTTGGTGGGAACGTTTCGCGTTCACAGGCCAAAGCAAAGAGAAAGGAGTTTCAGCAGAGGATGAAGGCGCAAATGCCGTTCCGTTCAAGAACTTCTCGCTTGTGCACCTTGCGCTGGTTTCGTCAGACCGTGGCTGCCGAAGAGCGAAAGGCGGCGAGAACGAGGCCACTAGTTGTCTGCTTGAGGCTCGGAGGGCGCAAATCCCCAAGTGCAGGAAGGAGCGGCCAAGCAGCATACCCGACGCGAGAGAAACAAAGCGTCCTCGCAAGCAGCACGGCAGAATTCAGGGTGCATGGTTGGAGGTTTCGCATGCTTGGTGTTCTAAGGGGTGGTGAACTGCAAGATGATTTCGAACTTCGGGACCCTGCCTTAGTTGGCGCTGGACGATCCTCTGAAAGGCGGCTGTGATGTGCGTTCCCGTGAACCTAGGCTTTGGAGCGTTTCCGTAAAGGCGCTGCAGCGTCCTGCATGCTTTATGCAGCTTTGCTTGTGGAAGCCTGCAGGTGGAAAGATGTAAGACTCTGACGCCTGACCGACAGTGCAAGGTCATTTAATGCACGAAAGCAAGGCAGATGACTTGCCTTGCCACGGTGTTAACGAATGCTGCCGTCGTCGGCTTTTCCAAAAGAGCCGCCCTAGACAGCAGTCTCCACTGAATAGTTGCCAAAATGTTTACGTTTGCTTTGCGAGCACAGTGCTGCGAGTGCTCTGGGATGCAAGGGTTGCAGGATCCTTCGAATCTTGCGCGGAGAAGCACCACGCCGCGACTCAAGAGTACGGAGATGCTGGAGGTCCGTGAGCCCACGAGAAGAGTGAGCCGTAAGCAAAGTCGGTCCGACTTTGTTGGTCACAGGCAACAGCCCAACGAGCACAGAAAGCACGGCTGCAGCCGCAGGCTTCCGCCAGCATAGTCCGGACCTTGGCAGGATCAGGCTTCCGTAACAAGAACGCACATGGGGAGACTCAGGCCTGAGGCCTCACGAAACTGCAGTCCGAAGCTGCTCAGTTCATGGAGGAGGTGGAGCAAAAGCTTCGGAGTGCGCTTGAAAAGCCGACCCACTTCCCGCTCGAATCGACTTTCACCTGCCTGCTGCTCTTGTCACAAAGCACAAAGCAGGCTTCCAGCGTCAACACGGTTTCATGAGGTCAGGTATGCAACAACTAAACGGAGCTGGGAAAACCGACGTTGCTTGTGCAGTGGGTGCTAGATAGAAATGCAGGCAGATGTCACTCGGCTGTGCAGGTGGTCGCGGCGTTGAAGGACAGCCGGGTCAGCCTCAATTCGTAGGACCTCTCCAACAGCTTGCAGGACAGCTTGGTCGAGATGGTCTATACTGCTAGCAGAGTCGGAATTAGTTTGCCAGGCGTCCACGACTGCGGCCACCAAAGACCACTCTCTACTGGAGGTGGTCGCAGGAAGAGGCATGCTGATATCGGCATGTGGGCGCGGAAGATACCAGCTCTGGCAGGTGCAAGGGTGGAAAAGCTTGCGCCGCAGGCATCGATGCAATTATCTGCTGTGCCCTGCGGTCCCGGGCTGTGCACGGTCACCACAGCCTGCGAAGAGGCCTCAGCAAATGCGGGACGGTCTGTTGCTGTGCCAGGCGGGAACTATGCCTGTTGATTGTTGCAGTGTCGGAAAACGACCCTGCTTCAAAGTGATCGGAGTTCGGCTTGCTCACAGCTTGGGTGCATTCCATTCCTGGCTGCATTGTATGACACAATCACAACAGTATCTGCATCATGTTTGCGATGTACTGCTGACACGTCGCGAGGACACTGTGGCCATGAGCTGCTGAACGTTCTCAGCACACAATCTGCTTCAAGGATGTTCGGACTCACACCACAGGCCCATGCCAAATCCAAGTTTCTGAAGGGTCCTTGGTGTTCCTGAACGTTCCATTTGCAGGCACTTGCAAATGCGGCTCGGTGGTGGGGCACGCTGTCTGCCAGGTTCAGCGATGCATCGAGAAGGTTGAGAAATGTCGTACTGTATTGGCTGGTGTGGCAGGAAGAGAAAGCTGTCTGCAGGGAGCTGACACACAGTGGTATGTATCTTTGTTGAAGAAAAGACCGGTGAGTGACGATGCCGTGTTCAAGGATGCCGTTGCCAAGGTGGTAGTCGTCCATTCCTCGGCTCTTTCTGCACCCTGCAATCTAACCCGCCTGATGCTCGGCAGTCGAGGCCAAGTCAAGAGGACCCACGCCGCGAGACCATGCGCACACGCTTCAGGCTATCGGGCTACCGGCAGCAGTAACGTGCGCACAGACAGCCAGACAGCACCCGTCAGCTCGCACGCAGGATTTCGCTACGGCGGCTGCCAGGACGAGAAAAAATCTCGCTGTTGTGACATTCTTCGCTTCCTGATGCCGGTCGTCCATTTCGCTACAGGAACTTGACCCCGGCGAGCTCGACTGCGGCCGCCGGCCTGGCCAGCCGTGATCCACACCCGTCGCAGGCGACACAAAGGCGTGACGATAGCTACGAGGCACGTAGTGCAACGTCTTGCCAGGAAGCTGGAAGCTTAGTGTGGTGCATCGCCGTCCCTGACGCCATGGGCGAGCAGGCGCCTTGAACCTCAAGCTAGTCACGTGCAGCTGCATATCTCTTAGGCACCTTTTGCCACGGCGAGCTGCTTGATGTGCAACATTCCGAGGCTCAAATCAGATTTGAGCCATTCGTCTCGAATTAGACAAGCGGAAGAAGGCAAGCCATCCAAGGGACTGGGAGATCCAGAAACGAGTCTGGGCAAAGAGCAGAGCAAAATCTGACAGCACGCTCACATGTTGGAGGGCCCAGGGCAGAGCAGCAGAGCGCTGCGAGCCATGGCTCGGTCCGTCGGCTTCATCTAACGGCCCCAAGGCCTTTAGGATGTTAGGCCAAGTCATGCAAGATAGAGCCCTGGTAGACAGGAGATGTCGAAAGATGCCGCAGATCCAGGTGCCGGCAAGACTTTGTGTCGCCAAAGAGCTGGAAGATGCTGCCCCTTGCAGGCGAACACTACGCATTCCTTCTGAAGAAATGCGTCAAGGTGTGATGCCGCTCCAGTGTTGTCTCGGACACGGTTGCGGCGCTGCAGGTCGTAGAAACTTATGACCCCAAGAAGACAACTATCGATGCATACATGGAGGTGCCTGCATGTCAGAGTGCATCTTTTGCTACAGTTGTCCTTGCGGTATCTTGCATCAGGACGCGCCGTTCCTCAAGGACAAGAAGCTTGGGGACACAGAGCTCAAGTTCATACACCAGGCCCAAAGCAGGTGGTCATCCGGCGACTGAAATGTCAATGTCGGGTCGAGAAAGCAAGCCATGAAGGGGAGGGAATTGCCAGCGCGAGAAAGACTAGACGGCAAGGACTTCTTTGTCAGGAGAATTCAAGTCTTATTCTTTTGGCGGAACTTGATGTTCGGAAGGCTATACTACAACCAAATTCAGAATGTGCAAACTCACTGACACTCTTACGGCCTTTTTCGACGTATGTACCAGCATATTCTGAAGCGTTGCTCTTGAAGTTGGCGGCCTGCAGATCGGATCAAGACCTAGCTTTTGTCATTGCATCGTGTATACGGCGCTGGCCTGCCGCAGCCCAGAGCCCAGACACCAGTTCCTGGCAGGTCTTCTATGGCTGTATGCGCTACCACAAATTCCTCAAGCTTTTTGCGGCAGCCTCAAGAAACTGCAGAGTGATCCTCAGCGAGAACGGGGAGAAGCGTTCTGAGATTACGAGCTTCATGTACAAGTGCCCCGCTGCGGCTTTGCGAGCCGAACAGAGCCCTACTGGCTATGGCTTGTTGCTTTTGTCCTTGCAGCTTCGGGCCAAGAAAAGCGCAGCTCTCATGACAGACATCTATTTGGTGCTCGCCTACCTGTTGTTCTTCCGGCTCGAAGAGCGAGCAGCTCACATGGGCCTTTCGCGGCTCTTTGAGCATCGTAGTTTTTTTGTCATCTCCGAGGCTCACTGTTCCGGAGCTTCGCCAGTTTCTACTTTGCGGTTATGGTGCTGCGCCAGCGATCAATGCCCTGATGCAGTGTCTTGCTTCAAGTGGAGAAATAAAAGCGCATGCAAGTGTGCATGCACATACTTTAGTTTCTACATGTTGTATGTACAAATGCATAGTTATCTAGCAATATGCGCACGTGTGTCTACGCGTATGTATATATGACAATGAGCATAGAATGAGCTATAAATAAAGATGAGCACATAAATAAAACATATACATATACACATGTGTATATACACACATAAACACATAAGGTACTCCATGAGACAGTGAATCAACTAAGCAGCCAATCAAGTCGCGTCCAGCGTCCACCAAAGAGAAAACATGTACATGACCACTACATAAGTGTGTTTCCAAGGTATGCCTTGAGTGTCGAGGTGCCGGGCTTGGCACTGGGGGAGCTGACTTGGAGCGAAAGCTATTCCTTTGCTTGTGCCTCCTCCGGAACTCGATCGCAGCATCATCCTCCGTCTCTTCTCCGGCCAAGTCGACACAAGTATACATAAGTACTGCGAAGTCAAGAGAACCTCAACTGTTTTCTGCCTCTCAGGAGCTCGAGAAATGGGTCAAGGCCGTGTCAGAGTCCCCAAGTAGAACCGGGAGCTTGCTGACGTTACAGGTAGAGTGGTGCAAGTTCTATGATGTCGATTACGTCGAGCAGGACGGGCATGCATGTGTTCGGCACACAGTCGTTTCGACAGTTGAGATCAGGACATCATCGGCAAGCTGCAAAGCTTCAAGGAGGAGCTCCAGACGACGAGTGACGAGGCCCCTTCAATGAGGCCTCTGTTTTAGCCGATGTGGCATGCGTGAAGGTGGAGTTTCGGGCGACCGGCACTGTAAAGGCCACCCGCGTGCTGCGGCTAGCCAAGCCAGTCTTTCCATGTTGCATCTTGAAAGGCAGCCGATGGCACTGCCTTGATTGCAAAGAGTGAGAAGAAGCTGACTGCAGCATGACTGCAACACACTCCAAGTGCCAGAGGTGCTGTAGGCGGTGCCAGTCTTACGTTTGATGGTTTAGGTTTAGGTGTGCCTTTCGGAAGTGTCTGAGGAGTTCAAACCCTTCAACCTCACGCAGCCAAGGCTCACCCTCGGGGGTTCTGCAAAGATTTCAGATTCGAAGCACGTAGCAGCTTTTGGCAAGTTGTTGGACTTAAGAAGGGCATCCCGATCGGCCGGGCAAGACTCAGACGGCATAGGAACAAACATGATCGGAATCGGCATCAGCTCGAGTTTCTAGCTTGTGACCTGACTGGACTCCGTCTGATCTCCGCAGTGCCCCGGGCTCAAGATGGAGGGGCAAGCGGGACCTTCGACAGATGCCCAGAGTATGTTCCGCAGATCTTTGGAGGGATCTCAGACGAAATGGCAAGCGGTGGAAGCCATGCTTCGGCAGGAAACGAAGCAGCGCTTCAAACCTCCAATGCCCGAGCGCCCCCCATGCAAGCGCTTTTTAATGGAGGAAGGCTGCCCGTTTGGCAGCAGCTGTACTCATTTACATTCCATCGACGGGATTCTGGATGTCCGAGACGGCCCTCTAGAATCGTGCGGGGCAGCAGAAGTGGCTCCGAAGGTTTTCTTGCACAAGATGGAGGACCGCAAAGTGGGCAGGGGTTCTATCTCGCTGCTTGTCCGTACCCTTGCCACAGGCGGTTTTGTGACAGTGGACCGACCCGAGCATGCTGACCTCCTGCTTTCCAATGCTTTTCCTTCTGTAAGTCTCCTTTCGAAGCTTCGTCCGGGGTGCACGATCAACCACTGGCCAGGTGAGTACGAGTTGTGCAGCAAGGACCGTATGGCCAGACTGTTGAGGGGATTGCCTTTCTGTCCCTCAACTTACATCCTGCCACATGAGTGGCCGCTATTGGCTTCAGAGTGCAGTGGAATGAAAGAGGCACTTTGGATCTCGAAGCCTTGCCAGCTCGGGGAAGGGCGACACATTCAGATCTGGAAGAGCGCTGACCTGGCGCACATGTGGCAGAGCAAGGGGGAAGCCTTCTTGGGCTCCTGTGTCGTCTCACGCTACATTCCGAATCCGTTGCTGGTGGAGGGCCGAAAAGCTGATATTAGAGTCTACGCAATGGTGAAGAGTTTGCACCCACTTGAGGCGTTTGTCTTCCGGGAAGGCCTTGTGCGAATTTGCGGCGTGACATACGACAGGAACGCTTTCGAGGACCTGAGTGCGCACGTAAGCAACAATGCCGTGCAGACGAAGGCCAGTCGGCATGCGAGCGGTCGAAACTTGACTTTGCAGCAGCTGTGGGACTCGCTTGGCCCTGAACATCATCGAGAGACTCTGTGGAAGCGTATCCTCAGAACAGTTCGTGATTCATTAACAACGTGGCAGCCGGCAGCTCTTGCTGCAGCAAAGGGCAGAGAGATGGCATCCGCTGCCTGACAGACAAGAAATGTTGTTTGTGTTTCCGAAGACTCGTAGGTGGATCACATGCGGGTGCGGCAGTCTAAGGTTCGATGTGCGGAACTCAGTGCATACGAGCATGGCAGCATGACTGCTGAATTGGCCTTGCTACACCTTGTGCCACCACCTGCAGCTCCCTCGCCCTGCAGGCCCTGCAGGTGCAGGCAGGCTGAAGAAAAGCGTATGACCGCACCAAGTGAGGTTACAGCCTTCTGGCCTTCGACCTTCTCATCGACGATTTGGGCGGCGTATGGATCCTCGAGGTGAACTCGAAGCCAGCCCTTCATGCGCAGAGCCAGTCCCTCAAGGCTGCCCAGGGGCAACAAACCAGTGGTCTGAACGTAGCAAGCAGCCACCATTGATAGGCAACGACAGACCCGCTTCGAAGCCTCGTGTTTTATAGATAGATCCCAGAGCCGTACCTCAGAATCGTCCAAACTCGTCTGTTGGCCGGAGTGTGTCGGCATGAGGCGATCTTTCCGGTCCACTTCGCGGTCAAAGCAAACCTATTGCTCCTCGGCTGATGCGAACTAGGCACAGGGAGTTGTGATTCAGCATTCAGTCTTATCCTGATCTTGTTGCGAAATCCAGACATGTTGCAGGGCTGACCTGTTCTGCATGGTGGGACTTCCCTCCAAGCACGGCCAGACCCCTTCGAATGCGGCGTCTGGAGGGGAAACGCTGGGCTTCGAGAGGTTGGAGTTTGTGGCTGCAGATCCGGCCATTGTTCTCTGGACTCTCTGCGAAGAGTTGTGTTAAAGCAGCTTTTGAAGCATACTCGTAGTTGTTGTTGAACTTGATTGTTCCTGAGTTTCTTTTTGCTTTGGTTTACGAGCTGCAGGTTGGCCGCGAACTGGCACGGTTTCTGCCGATACATGGAGGATTCGGCGATTGCGACGGCGGCTTCGGCTTGCTCCTGCTGGTGGCATGCAGAGCGTGCAAGACTGACGGAGAAAGAAGCATGTCATCAGGAATGCGACCGGAGCCTCTAAGAAACGAAGCCGAAATAGCTCATGTTCCCACCTCCAGCGTCTAAAGACTCCGCTTCTATTCCCCCTTCATTTGACAAAGCAGACCGTCCGATATGCCCGCCCATCTGCAGGTTTGTCCTGTGGACTTGTGGATCCTTCTAGCTACGACTACCTGGACTGCAGAATCTTAGAATGTGTCATTTTTGGAGGGGGTTGGTGGCAATCCAGGGTTTGGATCGTAGTTACAGAACGGAAGCAGTTCTATACCGACTCGGAAAGTTGCCGAGAGAGCTTGCGTAGTTCATACCGAGTGGTTCCAGCCATGGATTTATGACAACGAAGCCATGCAAGAAGTTTGTTGGCAAAAACTTACCATGCTCTTCCTGGATGCTTGGCACAACCGCCGAACACCACCACCTACTGTCGCAGAACATTCAGAATCGGTCTCCCTGCGTGACGGAAGCCAGAAATCGATGTCACACGGCGCAGGCCTCGACTGATCCCGGAACCAGACGTGATCAGCCGCCAAGTCAAGGCCTGGCCTTCTTTGTGTATGCGAGTCCATGTCCTGCAGCCACGCACAGGCTCAGCCAGTTCCCACCTCGATCCACAAGAACAGCCTCAACAAGGTGTTGAGGGGGGTCATGTGACCTCTTGTCGCGTTTGAACCTCTGCTTCTGTCCGAAGGTCGAAGAGCAGAAGAAGAAAAAGCTGCAGGAAGAGAAGGTACGGGAAGGGCTGCTGAAGAACGATGAATCGGCGGAAGCTGCAAGTTTTCAGGCGAAGGTGCTCGCCAAGTACGACGAAGCTGATCATTTCAGTCTGCTCCTTACTTGAGATTTACGTGCCATCTGCCGCCAGGTAGCACGGAGGTCACCGTAAGTGCGCTGACACACGTTCCTTACCTTCTTGGCAAGATCTGGAAACAGCGAGTCGTCGTGACCACGAAGCTGCTTTCGACGACCTGAAGAATCAGGCGTCGTGTGTAAGATCGCATGGCTGGATAGATGGAACGCCTCAGAGTGCGCCCCGAATGATCTCAGACCTGAGGTGGAAAGTGAGCGCATGGCGGAATGCACGTTCTTCCCAAAAACAGAGAAGAGACTTGACAGCATCGGTGTCCCAAGCCCGACACGGCTCGTGATTTGGTTGGGTCTTTCCCAACGCATGTGGCATAAGGGTTCTCGTTCGAGCGAGTGGAGGTCTGGGGTCACTCACGGTGGGTGCTTCAGGGATACGGTTAAGGCTTCGGGGGAGCCGGCAGGCAAACACATTCGGAAGTCGGCTCCTGTCCAGTTTCCAATTTGGGGCGGGGCATGCATGTGGATCCGAGGAAAGCCGTCGCCATTGCCGACAATGCCACGGTCAGGCAGTGTGTTTGCCGCCGTTACCATCAAAGCTCTGTTTTCAGTTTTTTCGCAGCGTATTCTCCCGACTTGGAAGCAGGAAAGGCCTTTGCAAGGATATTTTGTAAGCGTTGGTTATGTGTTGCATCGGCCATTCTGCATCAATCTGCCATCGGCTTCCGGCGCAAGGCACAACGTGGCGTCTGTGCTTCGAGAGGATGCCTTGGTCAAGCAGAAGCAGGCCAAGGAGTCGAGGGCTCCGAGCAGCGGCAGCCAAAGCCCCAAAGGGCAGAGGCTAGAGAACTAGGCTTCAAGGGCTCCGAGCGAAGCACCCGCGAAGGAGTACCAGGCCCTCAAGCGCTATGAGGAGGACTTGCATGATGCCTCGCAGTTCCACACCTGGCAAGAGAAAATGAAGGAGAAGGCTTGTGCTCGGAGACTGCCCAGTTTTGGTCGGAACCGAGCAGAGATCCGTCACCTGTGCCAAGGATCACAACGAAGAAGAGATGCGTGTGCGCCAGCGCATCGTGGAGTCAGGAGCTCAGAAGAACTCCTTGACGGGTAAGGCTAGGGAAGTCGTATGTGGTCGTAGGCGCGATTTAAACGCAAGCTCCGAGAGCACCGAAGATACCAAAGAGAGCGTCCCGGGTGGAGCAGAAGCCTAAGAAAGAGAGACTCGAGAAGGTGGTGCGAGGATAGGTAAGATTGACGGCCCTGTTCTTCTGGACAAGTGGCAGACAAGCCTGTTGCCAGCAGATGCCGCTCGTCTGAGCCGGATGCAGATCGACTAAAACGGCAGCTACGGGAAAGCTTGAATCAGATTCCTTCCGACCGAAGCACCGGCGGGGAGATCTGACAGCTGCGGAAAGCATGGAACAGGTCTTGAACCCGGGGTCTTGGAGTGATAGCAAAACTATTGTCTTGTTCCGGCGGATGGTGTGCCCCCGTGTTGTGGTACCGTCATGAGTACATCTAGCGATCATGCGCACCACCAAGAACGCTTGGCATATTTCGCGGGGACCAGGGGTGACATGATGCTTGAAATCTGCGGAGATATTGGCCTATAGTGAGCTGAAGTCCAACCCTGAGAACCTCCAATGGCCGCACCTTGCATGAACTCAGGATGCAGCTCTCGCGCGAGGTTGCCATGGAAGCCTTCGATTCTGCAGTCCGCAAGAAGCATATCCTGGCGGAACACCAGCGGGAGGACAGCTAGCTTGATTCACAGACCTCGCCCTCAAAGACTCAACAACGGACAGGAGTTGCAGGTGGAGCTCGATATGCAGGACTGTCATAGCAATTGCGATTCCACGCGACTCCGTGAGACGAGAGCCCAAAGAGCCAAAGCTGTTGACGCACACTTAAGGAGCGCATGCGAGAGCACGAGATGGGCGAGAAAAAGCAGCTGGTCGAGGAGACTAAGGAGGAGAGCTCTTGCATCATGTTATGGATGACTAGAGAACTTTGCTGGGAAGGCTAGTGTGACCGATTAGACGGGTATGACGGCACTTGAGGTGATGAGTATGGCTTGCTTTCTGATTGACGGATCTGTCGGCTGGAAGCGGAAGGTAGGACGCGGGTCAGCCACAAGATGCGATTGTCGCGTCGGTCGAGCAAAGAGAGGCCTAGCTTGCCTTCTCTGCCGCCATGTGGCACGCAGAGTACCGGCACCGGGGCACCAAGTGGGCCGTCGGGTCGAAGGGCCAGGAGCCAGTCTCCCGCACCGCAGTTGCCAACAACCTCCCAGTCCCTGCCTGGGCCCGGAACGGGCTCTCTGGAACTGGGGCGCATTCGCCGGCCCTCGAAGTCTGTTAGCTCGAGGCCAGTGTCGCCGATGCCACCTGTGACAAAAGGAGCCACAAGGGTCGCCAGGACTGCATCCGCCTTGGACAGGTGGAGGAACCTTCCGCGTGATGAGCCTGGATCATGGGTGCCGCCGCCACCTGAAGCTCAGCTTGAAGCGATAGGCTTGCAGCACGATGAGGCTGCGGTGCGGCTGATGTCTGAGGGCAAATCGGTCCCAATCCAGATGCACGAGATGTATCCAGACAGGCAGAGCAGTCCCGTCGAGATGAACAAGCTTCAACGGATACTGCAGCCACTCAGTCCACTCTTTTTGCCACCTTTGCCTGCCATCCCCGACACTTGGATGTTCGAATCGAAGGAGAAACCACAGACATTTAAGGATTATGTGCTCGAGCAGCCATCTCTGCCCTCCAGAACCCATCACACGATCTATCTGCTTCCCCTGACCGAACCCGGTGGCTCCTCCGTCGGAAGTCTGCCTGACTTGCGGATCTTTCAGAGCTTTCTGGAGGCCTGGTTTGGATTGCCATGTAAAATTCTGCACCACGATCCAATGCTGAGTGGCAAGGGCATTGCCGTGCGCAGCAATGGCCATGGTAACGATGTTCAGTACCATGCGAAGGACAGCTTGAGGCAGCTTCGCATTCGCCTCCCTGCGGATGGCTTCTGCATTCTGGGCATCACGATGGAAGACTTGTTTGACAGCACACAGACTTTCGTTCTGAGTAGCATTTCAGCCCGCGACCGTGCTGGCATCTTCTCGTTCTGCCGGATGGACCCAGCTTGGTATCGAGTGAGCTGCCGAATGGACTTCGATGCTGTGAGCTCAGTGTATTCCAGTCACTGCTACTACGGCTAGCTCACAACATGATGGAGCGACATGAGCGACCAGTAGCGGGCGGGGGTGGGTGCAGAAGTCTCCGGCCTGGCCTGCTCTCTCTCTGCCTGTCTGAGGTCATGAAGGTTGTCGAGGAGTACCCCAAGGAGAGAAGGGAAGGAGACCTGGAAATACTGCTGCGGCGAGCCCACGGTCTTCTCTCCAAAGAAGTTGGCCATTTTTTGGGAATGAGGCATTGCCAGTTTTATGTTTGCCGCATGCAGGGCAGCAGTGGTCTACATGAGAGTGACAGCAAGCAGGACAAGGTGGACTTGTGTCCAGTTTGTTTACGCAAGCTCTCGTGGAACCTCGCAAGCAGCACGTATGAAGGTGCACCCGAGGACATCAGCGGATGGTGCATCGAGCGCTATCGAAAGCTGTTGACTCACGCAGAGAAGCTTGGGCAGGCGTTGCAGGCCTACAAGCTCTGGCTCCGGAGCCGTCTCGCGCAACTCGATTATAACATCATGCCGGCAGCAGCCGCTGCATCGGCCTCAACTGCCGAGGCAGTTGCCGCGAAGGTCCATGCAGGCACCCCACCAAATGAAGAGGAAGAGGAGTACGACGAGGATCCTATCTTGCTCTCCCCTGATTCAGAGTCTCGGCGCGAAGCAGAGCTGGTGATGCTTTTCTCGCGCCACGATGAAGATGGCGATGGACGGATGAAGGTCAAGGAGTTCTGCCAGCTTATCAATGCGGTTGATGAGACTTTCTCAGCAATCTCAGCTATGAAAATGTTCGAGGCATGTGATGCCAATCGCGATGGGTCAGTTGACGTAAAAGAGTTCTTGTCGTGGCTCCTCCGGCCACAGGAAGACCCTGGAATGGCAGAGTCTAGGATTCTGAAAAGACTGGCTGCTGAGACTCGCTTAGCGAAGCAGTTCAGCTGCAGAATAGAGGACGACATGCAGTGTGAGTACTAGGGCGTGGCTGCTTGAACTCCCAAGGTGTTCAGGCAAGTCCACCTGAATTCGGTTACGTTACCTGCGCGCGATGAAGAAAGTGCTGAGAGCAGTCGCACGCCGTCGCAGAAAGCTTCCGCCGCTTCCCGCAGTGATGCTAGGACCGTGACAGAGCCCGGCTGGCAGAGCAGGAGGCGCTAAAGGCTCTCTGGGAAGGGCCCCAAGTGGCGTCAGGCTCGGCGCCTTTCTCCGTGCACCCAGGAGAGGCTGCAGAAGGCCGACCACATGCGCAAGGAACGCGAGGCCTGCGTCTGGGGCATTCTGTGGATGACGCTAGACCTGTATGAACCTCAGGTTGACATGGAGAGAAAGAAAAAGGAGGAGGAACAGGAGCCGTGAATTCGTAAGGGCTTGGTAGGGTTTGTGCCGGCCGCTTGCTCCAGTTCAGAGTGCTGCCTAGGAGATGGACAGAAAAAAGGATCTGATTCGTCAGATTCGCGCGCTGGAGAAGGTGCCAGTGGAAAAGTTTAAGCAGCTCGGCTCTAAACGATCCATTCCAAGCAACCCCTTGAGTTGATGCTTCCCCGAAGTTCAGAGCATTTGAGGACTTTCGATCCAGCGGAGCCGCCCTGTCAGGCCAAGGGCTAAGGGCTGAGGGCACAAACAAAGCTCGAGAGTTCGCAAACTGCGAACAGAATCCCACACGGCCCCTGCTAGGGCTTGCTGGAAGAGATGTCCTTGGCCGAGCTACGGGAGAGACTGAGAATCGTGCGATGCTGAGACTGTTTCTGACCGCTCTCCGAGTCGCTACCTCTGTGAAGCAAGGTCGAAGCTCAACGTGAGAAGGAGCTGGACGCAAAGCGCGAAAGGCTCAAACGTTGACCGCAGCATGTCAAGTAGTGGTCCGGTGACGTGAATTGCAGGCAACTTGCGAGGAAGCATGAGAAGCAAGAGGAGCTGACCGAAAAGGCCGCGATGATGGCATCTCTGGCAATTGTGCCGGCCCATGCTTGCGTGCCTTCCCTGCGCAGGCTGAGATGTTAGCCAGAGTTCGTGAGCGTGCACGAGACGAGCAGCAGCAGAGGCACGAGCAAGTTCGACAGCAAAAGATTCTCGAGGAGGAGCAAAAGCAGAGACATCGAGAAAAGTGCATTGTAGACGTGGCAGCAAAGCTGCAGCTAAAGAAGCGGCAGAAGAAGGAAGAGGAGCAGCGACTAAAGCTTGAGCTAAAGGAGATTGCTACAAAGAGGCAATTTCTGGCTGCTAACGCGGAGATGGTGGAGGCCAAGGCACAGGGCGAGCAGCAGGCAGGCCTGGATCGTGAAGCACAGAAGCGGCAGAAGACGATTCTCATCGAGCAGCGGAAGCAGCATCAGATCAAGATTTCTGAGGTTCAGCGGCGCCGGGACAATCAGGACAGAGACATCCAAGAGTACAAAACAATGCAGCAGACGGTGACTGCGAGAATGGACCGTGTCAAGGCTGCGGACCTGGCCCTGAAGGAGGAAATTCGCCAGTCGGTCCAATCGGCACGAAACATCCAACGAACCAAAGCTCAGCGCAATGTCACCGAGTTCGGCCACAGCAGCAATGCATACATGAGCAGGATTCAGAGTCGCATGGCTACCTCCTGCTAGGGTGGAGATGCGAAAGTGTGTACAGAGCCTGTTCGTGTAGCTTTTCGCTCCTTTTCTCCCGGTCCGAAAGCTGATGAGATTGGCTCGAAACCGAGAGTCTTCATCGAACGGACCGGGCAAGTGCAGAGTGTGGCTCCGCACGCATAGAGCTTTGAACACTAGGCTTTGGAAGCTATAAATGTTGTTGAGGTATTTAGGTCTTGGGTGAGGCAATCTGTTTCACGAGTGCATGCGGAGACAGCCTGTGAGCACATAAGATGCCTCAAGGGCTTCTGAAGGGCGTCTCTGACCTCGATAAATGCAAGTGAAACACTGGTTGGGTTCCATGGCCCCCGTGTCAGTGGCGATCAGTCGTCAGTTTTCAGGTCCTGGTGCGCGCACCCTGCATTCCTAGACTCAGGTGCTTCAGGTGCTCGTGATCTTCTCAAAGCAGGCAGTCCTCAATGCAGGAACACTTGGCGGCTCTGCGTTGTTAAGTGCGGCGTCCACTGCTTCGCACAGACTCTCCTTGAATGTGTGATCACCAAAGGTGCCCGAGAGCTCGGGGTTCTGATGGACTCTCTTCCCGCATTGCGGCCGTCGCTTTTGCCCTTCATGCGCCAGATCTTGGACTCGGCGCTTCTTGCGTATCTGGAGGAGCCTAGCAGTACCAGTAGCACTCTTGGCAGAATACCTGCCATTACGCTGGGCGTTGTTGGAAGCTGTGAGCTTCTCCTGTCGGCCGGCATCACAGCCAAGTCACAGGCGCTCATACCTAAGTCGGGAAAAGAAGGAGGTGTGGGGAATGTTCTGTGCGTGATCGACTACGACGCAGAAGCTGCAGTCAGCTTGAAAGGGCAGGTCAGACGGAGGAACAGACTCGGGGAGCTGCCTGTGCGAGCGCAAGCAGCGCAAGTGGCCCTGCCCCTTCGAGGGGGAGGAACGATCCTTCACGACCGGGTGGAGCGCTCCGCCTGTGCTGAGTTCCGGGCCCTCGCCGTGTTGGGCCGGCGGCTGCGGCGGCACAGCCTCGGCTCAGTGCAGGAGACGGCACCACTGCGGGGCTCGGTGAAGATTTCGGTGACGGAGCCGCCCTGCCTCTCCTGCCTCTCGGCTCTCATGCACTTCTGCACCGAACATCCGCAGCTCCGAGTCGAGGCGCAGAGACTAAAGCCTCAGATCGAGCCGGTTCCTCTCTGTCTCTTTCGCCAGGCTGTCCTGGATGGTTCGCTCATGCGCTACGGTCGCCAGCTAGCAGTGTTGGATGCTGAGGCATGGCACAAAAGACTGTGTGCCAGCATGTACAACCGATACAATGATTTGCAATGCAGGCAGGCAGTGTGACGTCTCTGCCACGATGTTGTGGCTCAGAGGTAGTTTGTCAACTTCTCTGACTACCCAACTCTCCATAGCATGATGGAACAGACGTTTTCCATGCTAACCCCCCCACACGAGCAACAGGGACTAAGTAAAGCTCCATTTTCAATTCATCAGTTGCCTCCTAGAGCATGGTGAGAGGACTCCATTCGTTGGTACTAGCTCCCCTTGTCACTGTCAAGGCGCGTCCTTTGTTCGACGCCTGCGGCGCGGTGCTAGTTCAGTGCCAGTGGGCATGCTGTTGGTACCCGTCAGACGCTTTCTTGCAGGGTGTATGGATTCTTCTGCTGCCGCTCGTTGACGCCGTCCGAGCAGCCCGAGAGGCAATCTCTTTGAGAAAGTCTTTGCAGCCGCCATGAAACCCTTGTGCTCGCGAGCTGCCACCTTGTGCCGTTCTGCACAGGGGCGTGCCGATGTCGGACTTCTCGAGCTGGAACACCATCATGCCGAAGAACAAATACAGCAGGAGGTCGACCTGCGGTGCCTTTCCTCGCGAGTAAGCCAAACAGATTGTGCGTCAATTCCAGGAGATGCACACCAACCTTCAGCAGCAGACGCATCTGACAAGTCTCGAGTGGCTTGGATGCGTGGTGATGTGTGAGTGCAAGCCGTGACGAAAGTAACGTTCGGATGGAGGCACGTGGCAAACTCTGCGGCTGCTGGAGAGTTGCTGATATTCCGAATGTTGACAGGGCAGCCGAAACAGGACTGGCTAAGCGACATGAAGCTCTATCATCGCCAGCCGTGCGTGCTTCGTTTGCAGGACCTCTGGACAAATGGCTTGGCTGGGTCTCGGCCCTGGGCGTTGTGCAGTGAGAAGCGCTGCGGGGAGTGGGAGTGGGCTGCTCAGATACAACGTGAGCCGGACGTTGGATGCGTACCACATTGACTCCGCTGGCAAGCTGCACCAGGCCGACGGTCAGAGACTCGCCTGATGTCACGAATAGACAAGAGCCCCGAAGGCGGTCGCTGCAGCTGCGGACACCCAATGCATGGGCCGGCTCCTCCTGGACTCAGAGCACAGGAGGGAGGGGAAGAGGGGAAGAGGGCTGGGGGTCCCCGGCTCTGGGGCTCTTTTCCTGGGTTCACCGATGACAGGTGCCACAAGGCATTCCCAGTCTACGACCTGATGCTGACAACGCTGCTTGTGATGCCTCTTGGACAGAAGCAGTCATGCTCAAAACAGACACAACCATTCGCTTCCCCTACGGCCACTTTGGTATACTTGCATACTTGCTTCAGTTAACACAGCACAGCATCGCGGCGGGCCAGGTTGATGACAAGCTTGGTGTGCTGTGGCTGCTGTTGCGGGCCGTTCTGTCATGGTCCGGTCAAGACTTACAGCCTCCGCGAGAAGTCGGGCAAGGAAGCCCAGACAGACTGGAAGTAGGACTCAGTGGCATGCACGAGCAGAGGACCAGTGCTGAAAGCAGGGTCACCTGCCAACAGCGTCGACAAAAAAGGGGTCAATTTCTGTGCAATGCGGCCCGACGCTCGACATGCCTCACCAGGAAGCATTCGCTTGCATTGGAGCGCGCGGCGGTGCATCGCGTTTCGGCCCAAAAGAGCAGCTGACAGCACATTGCGGATGTGCGCTCCAGAAATCTCAGAATGAGGTTGGTACAATAATTGACATTCTACCGTGGCTATGATTAGAGCATTGTCTCGGGTGAGATGCAGAGCTGCAGAGGTCCAACAGTTTGCTCGCATTGGCCTGTGCCACTCTGGTGGCCAGCGCAGAGGAGCCCACCACTGAACAAGAGGTTTCTTTTGACTAGTTCTCTGCACAACCATCCGGTCAGGAGAAGTTGGTGGGTGAATTTGGCCAGGAGGTTCTCGGATGCCGCTGTGCAGGAGGTAGGTACTTTCGCCCAATTCGTTCCTCGAGTCATGGTCGTCGTGTTTGTCGACCAGGCAAGACCACCCATGGAAACTGCGGTTATCACTTTCATTTCATGTCCAATGAGGACTGTCATTTGTCAAGTCCAACCTTGAATGCCGGCAATTGAAAGTGCACAAAGTCACACCAGGACAAGCCTTGGTGCCGCACGAAGTTTGGCCGGACTGCCAAGACTGCCAAGCAACGCCCTGAAAACAGGAAGGAAGTGACCGGCCTTTGACCAGGCTGCGGGCATTACTCCATCAAAGGCAATTGGGTATACTGCGACCCTCGGGGAACAGAAAGGCGGCGTGCCGATGTGGGATGCTCGGCTACAGGGCAGCAGGGCGAATCGATCGATGCATAGAAAAGGATGGCAAGCTCTACAACGCGCTGGATTTTAAAAAGTTCTACCCCAAGGACCAGCGCTCTTACGGTGGAGGGCACCGTCGGACAAATGCAGCAATCCGAGCACATCTGATGCAGGATGGAAAGGAGAAGTGGGCCGCCGCCTGGGGCTCGTTTCGGCGTCTCCTGGCGGACTGGGACTGGCCCATGGTTTTGGTCTCAGGCGGCTGCCTACGAAGAGACCCGCATCGCCAGAAATGGCAAGGCTGGGACACTGAGTAGGAACCTTCCTTCAGCTCGGCTCTGGATTAGATCACGCCAGACTTGCGGACAATGGGACGAACTTAGCCAGAACGCTCTTTTTCTAGGTTTTTTTTATCAAGAACAAAGCTTCGTGGGCCTGAAGCAATAGCGAGACCTGGTAATAGTGGCAATTGTGCAGGCATACAAGGCCAGCGAGTTCCGGGACTACTACATCGACTACTTGGGCGAGGACCTGGCTGGCTGTCTCAAGCGTCGTAAGCATTCACTGCCTGCTTGCTGGCAGGAGGGCTGGCTGACTGAGTGGACGGGCGCGCAGGAGGACTTTGTTTCTACGACCGATGAACACGGCTTCGTCACACTGTTCTGGGTTGGGTGGAGGAAACCCGCAAAGCCAATGACGGCAAGTTCTACACATTCGACCAATTCGTTCGTTGCTCATGGGACTATTTTGTCCGGATTCATCTTGCGCTTGCACGTTGGCATTGATGTTATGTGCGCCGACGTTGAGCGAAAGGTTGAGCACTATGGCAAGGATAAGGTATGGAAGATGCCATGACCTTACCATGTCTGGAGTCTTCTCTGGAACTGCGAGATGCTGTGACATCCTGGGAGCTTGCGAGTCATATGCTCAACGAGGTGGGACGGTGCCACCAAGCGTCGGCCAGAGCTGTGAAGTTTCGCGTTACCAACGTTTCCGCACGTTACCTGGCCTGTAGAGTGAGCGCTGAAAGCGTCATTGCCGAAACGTGCAGAACAGACCGTTTCCGGCTCCTGCTGCTCAGCTGCCTCTGGACGTGCAGTGCGCATGGTTTGGCCCAGAACTGTTTAAGCTGAGATTCGACTGCATCTCTTTGACAAAGCAACTGCGCATGCGAACAGGCGCAGCCACGACACGGTAGCCCAAAAAGACACTTTTTGCTTGCAGCCTCAACTGCGGGACAGAAGTGGATGCAGGTGCCGCGGAACTGCGCCGCATCGTGATTCAGAGTGGCTCAGTGTCATGATAGGTTTAGTGACATTTGCACCCAGTCAGTGTCTCCACGCGGGGGTGACCGTCAGTTTTGGTTGACTTCTGGTTCTGGCCTTCTGAACGCAATGGATTTGCAAGCTTACTCTTGGGCCTGCGGCAGCTCCATACGCTGCTTAGCAGACGAGGACGACGCCGTGCGCCAAGCAGACGCGAACTCTGGCCCTGGGCCTTTGGGAGAAGTGGTGCTGGCACAGGGTCTCGTGAGTGTCTGGGCGGCTGCTGTGCAAGTCGCAGCTGACTATGGAGACGTAGAGGATGTCGAGGCAGAGCTCGGCCCCTACGCCGCGGCGATTGTGAGCGCCTCGAAGTTCGAAGTGAAAGAGAATGATGAGGAGAACGGGAATGGGATTGAGAAGGAAGACCCGGAGGAATCAAAGAGACCTCCCGAGGAGGCACCTCGAGGAGAAATGGCTGTGGTAAGCTCGGAACTGCAACTCGCGATGCAAAGCGAGAAAGCTCGGGATGGTCCCGCAGCTGGCCTGGATGGCTTCCTCGGTTTGCTGTCGGCTTGGTCGGATGATGCGCCGGCCACGAGGTTGCTGGAAGAAGCCCGGCAAATCAAGAAGCCCGGGGCTTTGGCTGGGAAGGCTCCCGCCGAACCTCGCAGACCGCTGAAGAAGGAGAGCCTCGAAAAGCTGCGCTCGGAACGCTTCCCTCACAGCCGAGCCCCGAGCCCGCCAAGCGAGACGCGCCACTGGCGGCAAAAGGACTTTGAGCTTTACTTTGGCCCCGTTCTCAGTGCCACGGAAACCTTTGTGGCCCTTCCCCCACGAAGTCTCGCGAGGCAGTGACGGAGTCTTGCAACCGCGAGCGGAGCCGGAGCCAAGTTCCGAGGAGCTCTTGGCTCAGGAGATGCGACAGACGAGCCAGGCCAGCCCTTTGCTTGCAGCCGCCTGGATTGAATCTCCGATTTTCTGCGAATACTTGGAGAGGGCAAGGCAGCCTATAACTGTAATCCTGCGGTGCTTCGGACACTTGGCATGCGGGCAGGGAGATTTGTTAGAACAGCATCACATCTGCCGAGTTCAACAAGCAGATCGATATCAAGTCAAGGTGATCTCTGCCTGTTCTCCCGAAGTATTTTAGCAAGTGCCCATCTTATTTAGTCATGCTGGTCTTGGTCTCGAGATTCGGCGCAGCTCAGTGGGGAAGGAGAGGGGAGGGTTCGCCGATGCGAGATGCTACCGATTGAAAATCCGCTGCGTCCTCGTGCGAAGCCAAGGAGATGAGAATGCAACTCGCGCAGGACAAGGTCGTACAGCCACCATCGGAGTACGCTGCGTTCTGTCAACATCTCCTGGATCATTGCGGGGATATGCGCAGCCTGGCTGCACATCGATCCGGACTTGCTACGCTGGACCCTGACACCTCTGATTCAGGCACAGTTCCAGCTGGAGAGGACGAGTCCTCAATACCCTGTGACTGCTGCATGGCATTGGTGCCAGTGCCCTCGGTGTCGCCGAGGTGCTTCCCATTCCTCGCTCCAGACGCGCGCCTGATGTTCTCAAATCTCCCATCTGCAGACAGCTCAGTCAGTTCCATTGGCAGACTGCTCCGTCGATCTTGGCAGTATTCCACGTGGTGGACATGCGCCACGTTGTAAGTACGGTCAGGCCTTCTCTGGCTTCATTTCCGCCGGCCGAAACATAAGAAGCTGTATCATTATCTTACGTATTTGGTTAGCGTTGCCACGAGGAGCGCGTGAGGGTAGGATCCCCGGAATGCGGCTCCACGTCCGGTTATTCACACAGGGTCTGTGCTGCAAAGCCAGATTCATTTGCAAATTTCGAAACATCTGTCACCTATAGTACTTGGCGCATGCATTGAGACTGTGCTCCTGCGTAGTTTTCTGCGTGGTGTCCTGGTCTGGTGGTCTCCTGGCGATCGTGGTTGTCCTGGTCGTCGTGGTCGTGCACGTCGTGGCTCTCACTGTTTGGGGATCTGCGCTCGCAGTCGGAAGACGGATGTCGAAGCACTTTCAGAAAAGTGCTGGTCACTGCCGTACCACCCCGACGTGTATGCTAGTGCTGGTGACTTTGTTGCATGTCAGCAAGACTGTACCAGGCATTGAGAAGCAGCGGGGCTGGAAAATGAGGACCGCGCGGGATCCATTGTGTCGACGGGCGAGAGAATGTGCAAGTTCTTTGCCGTTTTTCTACTCAGGAGCTGGGGCCTGGCATACTGGAGCTACGAATGCGGACAGGCAGCCTGTGGCGAGCAGCCAGCCCGTGCCAGAGCCAATGAAGTCAAGCTACATCTCAGGCAGCCTGCGACTGCTTCAGACGCTATCCTCCAAGACGGAGTCTCAGATAGCAGTGGGGGAACTTCGAAGCAGGATCCACACCTCGTATGGGCAGAGGCACTGCAGAATCCGATGCCAGCCATGGCCGTTGCTTGCGGGTGCTCTCGGCATGTTTAAGATTGGCTGCCACCGTATCTTGTCCTGGGCAACTCCGCTGCGAGGCCAGGGTGGACGAGTTTGCCAAGTATGTGAACATGATCCGGGATATGGACCCACAGTGCAAAGAGGACAGCAGTGCGAGCGTTGTTCTTGGTCCTTCGAGTGCTTGCTGCAGGAGAATTATCTGGCATATCCACGCTACCTCGCATGCTGGTCCGCGTGCCAGCTGCGATGCTCTTGTCGGGACACGTCATGAAGTCGTTGTGGTCGTTGCGCTTGTGACATTGTTGGCTCTTCAGCCTTCGCCTGCACAGGTCTCCCTTCGGCATTCCAAAGCTGAAGCCTCTCTGGGAACAGGCTGCAATCGTAGCGGCAGAAACCGCCTCTGAGAGCTAGCGACAGGACCTCAAGTCTGGCCGCAAGCTTTGGGGTCCACCAGGGCTCAAGGACTGGTCACGGTGAGAGTGAGCGTCATCTTTTTGGGATGCATCTCTGAGAGTCTTGGAGATCCTTGAAGGACCTGTCTGCCAAGTGGTTTGACATGTGCTGCCTCGCAGCGCTGCACTGAGCCATGGCTCTGGCTGTTTTCGTCCTTCGAAGTCCTTGTCCTGCGAGGTTGGGCTCCTGTTTGAACCGGAGCTTGCTCAGCAGGACGGGCGGTTGAAGACTTGAGTCACACTTTTCCTCAAGCTCTTCCTCCGCAAGGACACGTTGCAGTTCGGGCCGCCCTCGCTTCAGCTGCTTTGAAGGGGTTCTGTATCGGTTCATGCCGCTTCCACTCAGGCCGGGCATGCTCGTGAGGCCGTACGTAGAAGAATGTTCTGTTGCAGCCCCAGTGCACGGTTCCTTCTGGGCGGGGTTTTCAACTTGCCAGAGATCTCTGCAGGCACACGTCTGGCATGCTCAAATCCAGGGAAGACGGATGTTCGCCCTCTTCGCACCCCAGGACCGACGAGCAACAGCAGCAGCAGCATTGCAGCATGCTTCAGCACGTTTCAGAAATTGAGAGAGAGCAGCTGAGAGCAGCCGCTTCTCTCGCCCTCGCAGCGCTACGCAGCGCTCCAGGGCTCTCCTCGCCTCTGTGTGTTGTTCTGCGCGCGCGGAGAGGAGTCCGCCACTTTGGAGACGCAGAGCGCCTCGCAGACCCTGGGAGTTGGGCTCCTAGAAGCACAGAGTGTCCTCGCTTCCGATTCCCCGGACGCCCAAGACATGTAGAAGTCGCAGGTGGATGTGCATGCCCGGAGCCGTACCAGCCCGGAACTGATCACAGACTTTGGCGCGATCTTCCGATGCTGAACGTGCAGATGACGCCCTTCTGCTTGTTTACTCTTCGAAGGTTCGGTCGACATCTTTGCATCGAGCCAGAGGTGCACGCGATTGTAATTTGTAATCCATCTCGCGCATCGGTTCGGAGTGTTCCTGGTATTTCCTGGTGCAGACTCAAAGACAGTCAATGCTACATGGCTCTATTGGAGCCCAGACCTTGGGATCTTCGTGAAGTGCATCTTGTGCCCATCTGCGCGTGTGCTAGGCCGGGCGAGACACTGATTATCCCGGCTGGCTGGTGGCAGTGCAGCGTTGCACTTGAGACCCTAGCTTAATGCATGATCTAACCTGCAGTGCAGTGCGCATGATTCACATGATCATTCAATCAGTCTTGCAGAGTTTTGATGAAGACACTTAGCTTGTTTCCCCAGGCCGTTCACCACGATCTCACGACGCTTCTGGAACAGGCGCCATGTCCTCCGTGATGGATGGCCTATCTAAGGGCGTTTAAGTCCTGGTTGCATTGTATCGGCATGTCAGTGTGCCAGGTCAAACCGGCTTGGCGTGTGTGATGTGATTGCGAGACGATCTGACGCTTCGGACAGTCGCCCTGCAGTACCCAACCGGCACCCTGCGACCGTGCGGCTCTGCGCTGGTTTCACGAAGCTTGCAGGATCTTGGGCCGAGGCAGAAGTCGCACTTGATATCGCAGCTGCCTGTCCTTCGCGAGCAGATGCAGCAGGTGCAGCATACTCTTTCACCATTGTGTGTCATGAGTCATGAGTTACGTCTTGACTGGTCGAATCTGTGGCAGGAAGACATGTCTTCCGGCGAGGATTGACGCCAAAAACAGAGCGCAGATTGCATGTTAGCCCAGTAACGAAAGTTAGCTCTTTGGAGATTGTGAGAGTCGTTTATTTATAAACACTTGCTTCTCTCTTGTGTTCAGGCGGGTCAACAAGTGACCCCGGGCCTTAACTGGTGTGAGAGTCAATGAGTTTTTGGGCTGCGGGGTGAGGGGTGTAAGATTGATTTTTGCAATCTTTAGGTTTGGCCCCTGCATTCGCTGTTGACGAAAATCGAAACCTAGAATATACTTTTAATGTATTCAATAATTTGTCTCGGGCTCGACCGACCAAAAAAATTAGAAGATATGAAATAAATGGGCCGAAGCGAATACTAGAGACTATATAACGAAGCAAAATGGAATTTTGGCAGACGATTTTTGTATGATTATATGGGGCAAAGTTAATCGAGGATTATCTGAAATTCTCAAATTCTTGATATTACGGACAATAATAAAAAAGAAAAATATAATCTATTTGGAAAAGAGAAGGCAAAGAAAACATATATTTAATTGAGAATCATATATCTTGAAATATTGATTATTATTACTAATATGAGAAATCGAGCTGAGTATTAATTAGATATTGAAAATTATTTTTAAGAAAAATATTCTTTTTATACATACTTAATAATTTTCTATAATATTGATTATATAATTGCTCTTAATTATATTTATAGATAATTTCTTTTTTATTTTTATATTTTATCATAGGTGTCGGTATAATTATTGGGCTTGATGGGTCTTTACGTTTTATCTTTCGGTGATTAATCTCATTTTTTTTCTATGTCATTCAGAAATTCTATATTTTGGGAATAATTTTGTGGATTCTTTCGAAAATTAGAGATTCGAATATTTAGAGAATAATCATTTTTATAAAATGTTTTAGGAATATTCGCCTTGCTCTCTTCTTTTTTTGTGTTTGTTATTTTGCGTTCTTGTATTATATTTGTCGCGTTTGTGAAGTGTTGGTAGTGTCTGGGGGTTTGTGGGATTTGTATATTCTGTTGGGTTTGATGAGATTTTGGGATTTATGGTATGAAATTTTTTATAGATTGCATTTCTCGGCGATCAAGGGTTTGATTTAGCATTATTGCTTCTAATGAATATCTATGTAAATTTTTGCTAGGCTAATATCAAGTCTTCTTTCTTAGGTTTCGTTTTTTAAATCTAAATTTCTAGATCTATTTTTCGATAAATTTTTTCTAGATATATATATATTTCGCCTTTTAGCAACCTAAAAATCATGAACCCTCGAGCCTCTCTCTATTTTATATTGAATATTTTCTCCATTCCTGAATTATTATTTTCCGAATGAATCTATAGCCTTATATAATTTTAAAATAATGAGCCCATCATGAATCTTTCCCAAGACCTTAAATTCTTCAAATTCCGAGATTCAGCGTTGTCATTAATAAGATTCTTTACCAAATCACTAAGTTTCAGATTTCGTCGTTAATCCTTAATTTTGATAAAGATATAACTCATATAACAATATATTTAAATAGAAAATAGAATTATGATCAATATATTTAATCCAATTCAAATTCAAAATCTTTAAATACTATAATTTAATAGAATAAATATTCTATTTCATATAAGAGATATTCCTCCAAATCTGAGTATAATAAAATTTCCCGATAAAAAGAAATGTATCACCTAGCAATAAAAATTATTTCATTTAATTTTTGCTTCATAATCAAATAAAAGAAAAATATTGCCTATTTAAATTCAGATTATAAAAATTTCGATAAAAGAAAAGAATGATAAGTCATAATTTATATAAAATATCCTAAGGTTTTATTTTATTATTATGAAATTTCGATAATAATTAGATTTCATTCAAAATTAAAAAAAGAATCCCAGAAGATAAATATTATTTCTATATCAACTATATATAGATACAATCAATTATTTATATTATATAAATAAAGATCTCCAAAGAATTTCAATATATTTATACTCTTTATTATCTTTATCTTTTAAGTTCTCCTAATTCTACCATCCCCACCTTTTATCTTATTTTTCTCCCCCTATCTCCCTCCCCATAAATGCGTATGAAATCACCTTTATGATTCCTTCTTTTCGAAATTCCTTATATATCGATAATTTCAGTAAAATATTCTTGAAATTCTCAAATTCAAAAGAACTAGGTATCTAAGATTCATCTATATTTCCAAAGATCTTCTAAATTTCCGGATAATTCAACACGTAACCGAGATTCAATATAATCGTAATCCAAATTTAGAAAAATACTCGATAATAATACGACCAAGTAGATATTTAAATATGATTGAATACGAGTAGGTACGGCCCAATACGAACCCATGCCCGAACCAAACGCTATCCAACCACGAACCGGACACGAACGAAACACTAACCAGACTCGAACAAACGCGAACCAAACATGAACCCAAACACGAATCAAACACAAATCCAGACACCAAACACACCAACCAGGACACGAACCCGGTCGCGAACCAGATACGAACCCAGACACTAACCCAGACACGAACCGGAACCCGGTCGCGAACGACATGTGAACCCGGCAATTTGACCCAGATTGTCTCCATATTCCTTTACGGAGCTCATATACGTATTCATAAGTGCATCGGCTTTACAATTGAATCGCTAATTAACGGAAATTGCGCAGAATCACTTGTTTGGAGACCATTAGAACCTAATGAAAATTACGACTGAAACTTGAATTACAAGAATAGTAGAAAGACTTTGAGTAGCGAAAGAAAATATAATGAAATTTACGAAACGCTTGTCAATGAAATTCCGAATCTAAGCCAAATAATTCAAAATGTCATGATAGTGGACAATGAAAGATAACAAATTTCGTTCAAATTAAACAAGTACATAAACGACTGCCTCTTGTACTTATGGCTACTTTTCGTCTGGCAGCGGAGTTAATCCGACATGAAACTAACATTTCCGAAGGACAGCGGCACTGGCTCACAATCAGGCGGAGTCCTTGTCTGTGTACTTGCCCTTCTTCACGGAGCGGTTCTTGCGGTCCAGCATGGCTTTTCGGTCCTTGTCCAACTTCAGCTTCGTAATCATCACCTTTGACGGGTGGATTGGAATGGGCACGCTCTGCCCGTTGGCCTTGTCTCTGGTAACACGCTCCACATGGATGCGGAACTTCTTGCGGTACACCTGCGTCACCTTGCCCTCGCGATCATGGTAGTGACCTCGCACGATCATCACCTCATCGTCTCGGCGAATGGGCACTGCTCGCACCGCATACTTCGCTCGCAGCTCTTTGCTCAGTGGAGCAGACATCAACTTGTGCCGGATGTGCGAGGGTGCCGTGAAGTACGCCTTGCGGTTCTTCCGCCGCGAGCATGTAACTGTGGCCTTCTGCTTCATGGCGCAGCTGCACTCTAAGTCACGCAGCCAGACTACGAGAATCCTGAAAGCCACATGGCACCAGGCAATCTGGCAATAATAGTAAAACATCCTCCTTGCAACTGCTGCAGTAGTTTCATAACATTATATGGTTCTACTTGACATAACATCAAGTTAGATCTATATACCCAAACACCTGCAGCTCCTACTTTGAGTCTTGAGACGCTTTATTTTCTCCCGAGCAGGTCTGCAGGTCCCCTTCATTCGCCAGCCACTACTAGGCAGAGTCCTTGTCTGTGTACTTGCCCTTCTTCACGGAGCGGTTCTTGCGGTCCAGCATGGCTTTTCGGTCCTTGTCCAACTTCAGCTTCGTAATCATCACCTTTGACGGGTGGATTGGAATGGGCACGCTCTGCCCGTTGGCCTTGTCTCTGGTAACACGCTCCACATGGATGCGGAACTTCTTGCGGTACACCTGCGTCACCTTGCCCTCGCGATCATGGTAGTGACCTCGCACGATCATCACCTCATCGTCTCGGCGAATGGGCACTGCTCGCACCGCATACTTCGCTCGCAGCTCTTTGCTCAGTGGAGCAGACATCAACTTGTGCCGGATGTGCGAGGGTGCCGTGAAGTACGCCTTGCGGTTCTTCCGCCGCGAGCATGTAACTGTGGCCTTCTGCTTCATGGCGCAGCTGCACCCTATTGGTGCAGTGTCTATGACAAGACGCTTTCAGCTTGACCCGCTGGTGCAACGAAGGCTGGCGGTTCTGTGCCCGTTGCCCTCAACACCATGCTGTGGCCCTGTCGGCACAATGCTCGTGCATGAACGGTTTCACACCTTTAAACTTTTTGCCACTGGCAAGCGCTCTTGAGGCACGTCTAATTCTGTCGAGCTTTCTCTTCTCTAGCTTGGTATGGAATAGGTCACATGTCTTTGACTCGTTGACATTAACCAAGGCTTGAAATGCAATATTTGTAGTGGTTTAAGTATCCATCCATTTTAATCGCTGCCCTTCATTCCACAAACCTTTTCGTTGCCTGACAAGCGCAGAGGGTGTTTTCTATGTGCATCGTACAGGCACCTTTCTGCTCTATCCCTGCAGTCGCTTGCGCATGCCGGGGAAACAGAGTTCGTGGACACTGAAAGGAATGCAGATCTTTTCCACTGGACCTGCCTGCCCTTGTTGTCGATGAACACGCCCACACCATGCTGCCGGCCCATCTCCCACTGTCCAGAATAGGACCTAAGAAGAGGTCTCTCTTGAAGAGAAGGGCTTCTCAAACAATCCTAAATCCAGCCTTCCATCGGCCCATGTGAAGGTGCCCTCGCCGGACTTTCGGTCCTGAAAAGAAACCGGCTCTCGCTCGCTCTGTCTCTTCCTCCACACACTATCCTCTTCCCCGGGGCATGAGGGTTGTTCGAAGCCCCCCGGCCGCCAGGGCCCCCCGATGTTCATGTGGGCTTTGGAGGAGTGTGAAAATCGGATGTCATCCCCTGCTTTTTTGGTTAATGGTGGGCATAATGAATCTAGCGACTCAACACTGAGATTTCACTACTCTTTGTCTTCTGTATTCTGTGAGCACTTGCTTGCTACAGGCCGTGAAGGGACTGCACCCAGCCGGAAGGGTCCGTGCGC